CCGGTGACCTTGATACGATAGAAATTGGATAAATTCGATTCCAGAAATATTACAAATACTTTGGAGATGATAAAGAGAATAGCCTAATAAGTCATCAAGTTTTCTGAGGTATTTCATCTATTTTAAGTAAACAAACACGTAAGCTTGATCATCATTCTATATATGTTCAATTATCCCTTTAACTATTCCAAATGCAGCCTGCCTAATATCAAACAGAGTAGTTTCAACAACCTCACCAACACGAAATTTTATGTATTGATAGTCACCATTAGAATCAATTACAGAATATGAAATGCTCTGATAATATCGAATTTTTGTCTTTAATAATGATTGTTCTATAGAAAAATAAGAAGAATATATATATATAATACTTTCTAAAAGTCTATTATTTTCAAGGGCAGTAGAAATAAATCTAGCATTTTCTATTTTATACTTATCCCATCTTATACCAAATTTTATTTCGGAGCAATTGAAGTGTGAAAAGCTATGAGTATTAGTAAAATTATCTAATTTAAATTTAATAAATTGGTTAGAAATAGATATACCATACAAGCGTGAAATAATGTCTGGAGGCATTATTTTACTCTTATACGTAAATAGAAAATAGTATATTATATTACTGTATATTGTTCATATTCTTTTGATAAGTGCATTGAAAAGTTATCATCAATATACCAACCAGACAGTAAGTGACGTAATTGTGGTTTGACAATTAATTCTTTAAATATTAATTGTTGTGATATGTTGCTTATATGGTCATCTATTTCTCTATCTACTAAATATCTCAGTGTTTGTAATATATTGACTTGCTGTAGTAGTGTAAGTTCAAGATTGTGTTTGTTTATATATAGTACAATTGACTTAAAAATTCTATATATTATTTTCTTTTATTCCAACTACTGTGTTAATACATGTGCATACTGATATACATAGTCTACCAGATACTGATTTACATGAAGATTCAGGAGATTCTGAAAGCTATCAGGAAATATCTTAAAACAAAGTGTATTGTTATTATAATTAGAATTAAATAAATAAATTAACAAATAAATAAAATAATAAATGAATAAATAAATCAATAAACGAATAAATAAAGTTATCTCTATTAATATGTTAAGTTCTTTATTCAACATTTTTTGAAGTTTAGAATACCTATCTAACCTATTAATAGATAATAAAAAAACATGTTTGCTAACTTTTGCAGAAAGTTTCTAAACTCGAATCAAATGATTTATAACATCATTTTGCTAAGAAAATTTTAATCAAACTATTGTTTCATTTATAAAATTAGACTTAATATCTTTAATTAATAAAAAGTATTTTAGTATAAAAAGAAATATCATTAGAATGTATAAAATATCAGACATATGACATCTAGTGTAGAACTTAGTAATAAGCGGACTACTTAAATAGGCAACCAAAAGTTGTACGTGTGACTAGTA